CACACACACACACATATAGATATATATATAGTGATCTCCATGTTTAAACTGCCCATTTCTTTCTCTGTAAGCTGCACAGGGAGCCTCAGCTGTGGACATTTACAATGTAGACTTCTGAAAGTATGTCAGATTAATTCAGGAGAACAAGTTTTTCAGGCAAAGCAAATGACAATTCTCTTATAGAAGACAGCAATGGAAGAAGATAGTGTAACAGCAGTCCAGGCTATTTGTCACACAGTATATTGCAGATAACCAGCAAGTACACAGGGAAGAATTTTAAAGGGGAAAATAAAGGGAGGGCTAATTTGTACAGCAGTGTCTAAACCAGATCACATTACAGGCACAATGGCACATTACCCTCATATGGAGGAAACACAAGCCAAAAACAGACAAATACAGCTGCACCAAAAATTCTATGGAGACATAACTCCACCCACCCCCCAAAAAAAGAAGGATTCAAACAGAAATGAAAACACTGACACTTCCAAGAGAAAAGAAAAAGTAAGGGACAAACCAAAAGATCCACTGACAAAGTGAGACACAACTATTCAGGGCCTGAAACAAAAATAAATGTTTCATATGCTACGAGTCAGAGAGGAAAATGTTGGCCTATTACTCAGTGTGGGAAGAAAACTCATAACAGATGGCACAGAAAAGACTGAAGTGTCTGATGCCTTTTTTGCTTCAGTTTTCATAAAAAGGTTTCAAGGAGATGCCTGGCAGCAATATTAACAAGGAGGTAGAAACAGTAGTCTTGACATGTCTAAGTTTGAGGAGACAAAGTTAGCAGTCCCTGAGGACCCTTACCTTATATCACTTTATGAATTGGAAAAAGCAATATCAGAACTATTTATAATTGTACTTGAAAATTCAGGGATGACTGCCTGGACAGTGGGAAAGGGCATAGATAGCACCTAGATTTGAAAAAACTAAGAACAAGGAAAGTATAATACAGATCATTCAGCCAAATTTCAGTGTCCAAAGAACACCATATCAAGTTATTAAACAATCAATTTGCAAGCAACAAGAGATAAGAAATAGCCACTATGTATTTGTCAAGAATAAATCATGTAAAGTCAATGTAATCCTTGCTGCGATAGGGTAACTGAATAAATGTATAGGCAGAAGGAGTAGATGTGAGATACCAGTTGACTTTGAGATATGTTTTGACTTTAATAAGTCTTTTCAGATATTTCTACTTGAATACTCATGAGCAAGTCTGGGAAATATGATCTACATGAAAATAACATGAAGTAGTGCCTGACTAGTTGAGAAACTATGCTTAATATATTATTATCAATAATATGCTGTCAAACTGGAAGGACACATAAATTAGAGTCCTACTTGAATACTGTCACAAAGAAGGGATTAAATAAGAACAGTGCTATAAGCAAGATATAGAAAATAATTACTGAGCTTTATTTGATGGTGGTATGACCTCAGCCAAAGTACCTCATCCAGGCTGGAGATGGCACTTCAAAATGGCATAAATAAATGAGAGAAATTCAGAGATGCGTGACAAAATGATACAATATTTCAGAACAAAGAGAAGTTTAACATTTTTACTTTGCCTTGAAAAGGAAACTGAGAGAGGGACATGGAAAATGAGAAAATTCAGCAAGCTAAACTCAAATTCCTATAAAAAACCTGGTTATTCAATCCCACTGAAAGTAGGGCAATGTAGTTGGATTGATTTGCTGTAAGGGATATTTAAAACTCAAAACCCCCTTCTAATTGTAAGGATACTCCAGCACTGGAAGAGATTACCTCAGAAAGTTGTGAAACCTCCTCAGGATCAGTATTTACAGCAAACAAGCAAAAATATGTCAGTGTACCTTCTTCAGTCTTACAGCAGACAGATGGATAATATCACCTTTGGGGTCCCCTCCTGATCTAAATTTCTGAGATTATCACTTTGCACAATCCCCTCCTAGATGGATTTTAGTTATCTGTGCAGTCACCAGAGAAGTGCCCAGCAGAGGGAGCAGGGCAATTACATATAGATTAATTTAGCAGCAACTAAGAGAGCCATCCTGTCTGAGAAGTCCTGTGACATAATTCTTAGAACCAAAATCAGGTTTTGTAATTTAGATGTTAATATATGGAACTGGGAGTTTCTAAGAAGAAGTAAAATAGAGTCTCTTTTATGTGACACTTCAGCACATCTGCAGTTAACAGAGCTTGTAAATCAAATCTAGCCTGTGTGTAATAAGTACAATTTACTGTATACTGCACTTAGTCTGAAACCTTTATTTCAGTTTCAGATGTACAGGGCAGTGTAGTCCTTAATTCTGACTGATATAAGCAATCTTCAATATAAAGCCTAATTCAGTCACAGAAACAATAAATGTTTTATAATTCCAGACAGATCTCTCTACAGACTTACATTCTGTCTGTTCATAAAAATCAATACCATTTCCTCTGTAACATCTGTGATGCAAAAGTAAAGTATAGCTTAACTCTGTTATTCTGCTATAAATATGTAAAGATTGAGTTAAAATCGGGTTCTCACATCAAAAATTTCCCTCTGCCCTTTGATAGTATTTGTACTCACCCTAGTCTGCATAGTTCAACAGCAGTTAGTTCATCACTGGCACAGACCATAACAGCCCAACAGGCACTTCTTCTGACTTCTTCACTCTTAGAATGCAGCAATTCAACGAGTGGTCCCAGTCCACCTGCATTTCTTAACTATAATAAAAGGGAAGATATTACCACTTACATATTTCATTATCCCAGCAAGAACAGCCTGTGAACTTCACCTTCTAAAATATCCAAGCCTTGTAGACAAGCTATGCTGAGCTGGTAGAAAAGTCATTTATGGGGATTCTGTGCTTCTGTGAACTCTGCATAGGCTGGAGCTGTGCATTTGTATTGTATTGTATGTACAACAATCTTATTAACATCCTATTCTCTTGTCTGTGACAGTATCTTTCCTATAAATGCTGGAGGAAATATTGCTCATTTGGATTTTTGAAGAGAAAGACATTTTAAGGACACTGAAAGAAGTAGATTAATTATCTATATCCCTTATTCATGTCCTAATTAACAGCCTTCACCCATGAGAAAATCCCAGCTTATGATCTATGAGTGCACATAGCATCATTCTTATTTATGAAAAGAAAATAACGATGACCAATTCATAAACAGCGAAGAGTTCAACTTGCTAGGTGCCACTGATCAAGGGATTAATTATATTTTGAGTTTTGTCTGAATTACATTTTGCTCCACGCACATCCAGTATCTCATTAATCAAAGTCAAACATTGCCATTCAGGCCTTGAAAGTGGGCAACAGAACAACTCTGAGGGAGAGTAAAGAGGACTGAACTTGTCATCTTCAAAATTCAACTGACAGTTGCAGCTGAAAGAAAGCTTGATGTTTAATGCTCCTAAATATGAAGATCAAGATACAGCCCTGGTTAAAGCTCATTGAAGCCACTGAAAAGCTGTGAAGCATTAATTTGGTGCAAGCAAACACAGCAGTGAAAATACAAATTGAAGAAAACCCTTTCCAAAATCTCATAACAGATAAATTCAGTAAAACAAGCCTATGGCAAAAGTTAAACATAAGGCTATCTAGAAAGCTCAGGACTTCTAGGACAGACACAAAACATCAAGATTCTAGGTTCATATAACTCCAGCCTCGGGATCTAGAAACCAACAACCACGACCTCAAAGAGTACTCTTACCTCAGTTCTTGCATCAGCATCACACCCAAACGCAGCCGCAGCGAACGCTGCTTTGCTGTGCACTTGGCTGTTGGTTGAGCACAGTGGTCCTGCCAGGGCACTCATGATGCCATGGCTCTGGATTCTGAGACGGAATGGCTCTTGCATGGCCAGGTCTGTGAGCACTGCAGCAGCATTGGCAACAGCTCCATCTCTCTGAGCCTTCAAAGTCTTCATTAATGGCTCGATTCCTTCAGCCTCGGCAACAGCACTAGCAAAGTAAAGCAGGGGAGGTGAAATTTAGTTTTTGAAGGCCATTTTTTCTTCTTAGTGTGCTGTATTTACCAACTAAATTAGTATTACTTTTCAGGATTTTAATATATATGTGTATATCTGTACATATAGATATATATATATATATATGCGTGTTACACATATGAGTCATGGTGTGAAGTTCAAGAACCACACCCTAAGCAGACAAAGCAAGTCACAAACTTGTGGATTCTTGAACTAATTAGGACATAGATTCTTTCTGAGGTATTGAACAAGCCAATTAAATCCTGCACCTTTTCAGAGTTGTAAAATTTCCATATCTTTAGTTCCAGGCAAATGCTTCTGCAGGCTCTTACCACCTCTTCCCATAAACATTCTAGCACTACTCCTAATGAGGAATATCACATTTTTCTTTGTTCTGCCTTGGAAAATTCTGTGATCAGACACCTAGGTGGTATAAATATAGCTGACCAAGTTTCTCTCATTCTTCCAGTGTAGGTGTCCATGGGGCAGTTCAGTGCAATGTGGGAATTACTGAGCTGACTTTATGTAAGTTGAGTTAGCAGGACAAGAACAGACTCATCAGAACAGAGCTCAGGGCTGGCTCTGACTGTGATTCCACATCAACTCATTTATCAACAGCTGACCCAGTCCAAATACTCCCTCTGCTCCCAGATGACTTTGCATTCATGGTTGAAGGGTGTTGCCTCTCAGCAGTGCTGGCACAAACACCAGTGTGGCCAAGGACATCGAGGCTAGATGTGCAGATCAACTGGGAAAGACTGTTGGGATGTTTTTTAGGATCACTTCATAGATTTATGTTCAAGAACAGTCAAGGAAAAAAACCTGCTGAGGAAGCACTCTTGAGGAAACAGCAACTTTCAGCAAAAGACAGCAGTAGGTTCAGAGAGCTTCAATATTAGAGGACACATTTGCAAATGACTTAAATCTGATGCACTGCAAAACTAAGTGTCACCTGGGCCTACATGTCAGTCACAGCAGGAGGAGCTGGCCCATGAGCACTTCATCTCAACACTGCTGTTTTGCTTCCAGCACTCACCAAGACAGTGCTTTTTAAAAGACAAAAAAAAAAAAAGCCAACTTGATATTCTTACTACTTAATATATCAGGTAAAGAATATATTTGAAAGCATGGTTTCTAATGATAGTAAACTCTTGACTGATGCAAACCCTGAAGAGAGAACCTGGCCTGGCTGAGGGGAAACTACAGTGCTCTAACAAATCTGAAAAGGCACAGATTTCTGGGTTACCACCTTGTTGCATATTCTTTGGTTTCTTTACCATAGCCAAAAGCAACTACTGATACAAATGTAGTTCTTCAAATGCCATAAGATATCCCATAACTTGAGATTTTTGTTGACTTTCTTTCCAAAACTTTGCCTCCTACTAAACAAGAGAAGAGATTTATTTCTTGGTCTGTATCACATTATGTTTGCTTCAGTGGTATTTTTCCCAATGCCATTATAAACCAGCACACTATGAAAACTGAACTGTCTTCCTTCTGAGTTTGTACATAAAATTTGACCAAATTATTTGAGGCATATGTCCAATTTACTATCTGCTCTTAATTTTACTTTGGGCTCATCTTTGTTAAACAAAAGCTGGCAATATTGTTAGCAATGGGAATGTGCAGATGGCAATTTGAATTTTTCTTGCAGCTGCTTTTTATACCCTCTTTTAGTACATTTTGTCTACATCAAAAACATAACCAACCCTTCAACAAAAGAGTGTACACTTGTAAGTTTTGCCAAATTTCTGTGACCACATTAATAATAGAAATCTGCATGTGAAAATCTTTTGCTGTAACAGCATCTTATAAAAATCTGACTAACCTTTTGACAACTTTCAGTTACAAAATAAACACAGGCTTAGAAGTACTACATATAAAAGAAATGGTTATACTATCATAGGCTGTCAAGGCATTAATAAAAGCACTGAAAGGTCAGGAATGCTGATAGTCACACTAATGCAAACAGGACAGAAAGCAGAATAGATGCCAACCTGTGCCATATAATCCCACTACATGGGCAACATGATGCAGCTCCTACTGTGAACTCAGTGCAAGTGTCTCCAGATTGTCAGAGAGGGGATGCAGATGTTCCTGAGCTCAGCACAGGCTAATGGGGTTTGTTACTCTGATCTCTGCCTTGGGCACAAGGTGATGGCAGCTCACAAGTAGTGCTGGAGCATGGATCTAAGGCTGGCAGGCAGTTCCCAGTTTGGAAGAGCAGGGAAGAGGCAGCAATCCAGAGACTGAAGGTAAATGGGATTATTAGCTTGGGTGCAGCATTAAGCTACAGGGCTAGTTTGGTGTGGCCTAATTAATCCTCCTGAAGCACCAGTAGCTTTAATGCAAGCACTTTGATATCTATTCAGAAGTGAATCCCATGTGTTCAGATGTCCCACACTGCACTCCTCCAACTGTCTTCAAGCAGTTGAGTTTCCCCTTATCTGTGTTTCCTCCTTCCCCTTCCTTCCTTGACCAGATAAATAAGAACTGAAAATGTTTTGTTTGGTAGGTTGCTTTTTTTGTTGTTGTTGATTTCTTTAATGCAAGCACTTTGATATCTATTCAGAAGTGAATCCCATGTGTTCAGATGTCCCACACTGCACTCCTCCAACTGTCTTCAAGCAGTTGAGTTTCCCCTTATCTGTGTTTCCTCCTTCCCCTTCCTTCCTTGACCAGATAAATAAGAACTGAAAATGTTTTGTTTGGTAGGTTGCTTTTTTTGTTGTTGTTGATTTGTTTGTTGGGTTGGTGGGTTGCTTTTTTTGTTGTTGTTGATTTGGTTTGTTTGTTGGGTTTATTTTTTCACCTAGCTAAGGCCACTGTATTTCCAAGTTCTCCAGTTAATATTGTCTTCTCTTGCCCATGAAAATTTTATCCAGATTTCCAGCTTCAGGGCTGCTGTGGCTCCATCCAGGCTGCTGTATATGAAGAAATCCTGGACATGTTGATTGCACATGTAAGAATCAGCTATATACCACATGTACCACAGGTTTACTGGAAAACATCACATTCACAGCAAGTGTAACAATGTCACCACACACCTGCTGGCAAAGTGTGGGAGAGACTCACTATACATGCACACAGCCAGACACAGTAAGACATGTCCATAAGAGATCAGATTTACAGCATTACTCAGTACATATACACATACCTTGTCCAGGAAGGAAAAAAACAGAAGTAAAAATACCAAGATCAGTTTTTCCTGTGCAACGGATACATGGAAATTCCAGGATTTATGGGACAGATTCACTATTCATGAAATACATCACTGCATCTCACAGATGTAGCATATCCAATACTTCTGCAGTGAGTACAGGACTTACTATTCCTCTACTCCACCCAGTGACACATGTATTCTCCCTCATAGGAAATCCTAGGTGCTTCTGCAGTGAGTACAGGACTTGCTATTCCTCTACTCCACCCAGTGACACATGTATTCTCCCTCATAGGAAATCCTAGTAAACATCCAGTCCCTAACAGACTGGTTACAGAAAGACACACAGCACTGAATGACGTAACCAATCACATTATAAGCAGATTTACTATAATTTCCATAAAGCCAGCAAGTACACAAGCACTTAACAAAAGAGCAAGGTGACAGCTCCTCGTGTGTTCAGAGCTGACCTCAGCGAGGTACAGAGCACAGCCAATTTTCTCAAGTGCCACTCAACTTCAGAAAGGTTGAGAACCACTGATTTAGAAGATCATACATATTTATTTCAATCCTGTGTTCTACTTCTGCGCAGACTCATTTTGAATCACAGTTTCACGAGCACAGTTTAATCAAGTAGCACAATTGATCACAAGGCAAAAAGAATTTGTTAGAAGTGACAACAGCAGGTAACAAGATTTGAAGGTAACCAATACCTTTGAGAATAAGTTTTTAAGAGGGCACAAACATCTGAGGCCAACGCTGTGTCCTGGTAACAGAGATACATAAAGAAGAGACTCTGAGGGAAGAAGGAAGAATGAGGAATCCATAGTTCCACTCACTCCTACTTCATAGCCCTCCAGAGAACATGGAAATAGCACTGGCATCCTGGGCCACAGAGCCTGACCTCAGAATGGAGCTGAAAGAATGAACATGCTTTAGTTCTTATGGTGCTGAAATACTACAACACTAAGATCTAAGTATGGAAGTCCTTGTTCCCTTCAATCTTGGGCAGAGGATTGCACTGTGTAACTTTTTAAGGCAACAAAAGTCAGTGAAAGTTTTTACCAGCACTGGTAAAAACTGGTACCAGCACAGCATTGCCCAATGTAGATCAGCACTAGTCTCTCTCTCCCTCCCTACAGAACACTCTCCTTCAGACACATCCCATTGAGATGGTGTTTCATCAGTGCTCCCACTGCAGGACTGCAACCTCAAGAAAGAAGGGAGCCTTGGTTTAGCTGAAAAAAAAGTATACACTTTATGAGCTGGAAAAGGGAGTAAATGGTATAAATCTACAGGGGTTTTTTTCCTCCATGTTGTATAAATATTCAAAATACATCAACTTTCCTAAACATGGAGAAAAAAAGGTTAGGGAAAAGGAAAGAAGACAATGACAAGAGGAAAAAAAGAAAAGGATGTTGCATTTGCAACATCACCATGTTTTTTTTCAAAAGTGGAAGCTGCCTATCTGAACTATAAGCAACAAGAAAAACCTAACAAGATAGGTGTAGGAACTGCAAAGCTCAAATTAAAGTTAAAATAATTCAAATGTTATGATTTATAAGCACCAATTATGATCATTATAGTGCCTAACCTGGTAGGGTTAGGCATTTATCTTAACCAAGATATACACAGTTCAGGTACCCTAAGGACCTTCACCATGCCCTTTAGTGAAGCAGTAAATTTCTGGTAACAACTGAATTCAAATTTCTGTATTCAAGAATAGCTAAAATATTTTTCTCAACTGTTACTGGAAAGGCAAGTATTAAAAGCTCAGAAAATAAATATTGAATTTATTAATTTTTAATATACAT